ATTTAACTAATTCAATTTCATACTTCTATGTGAATCAACATTAGTTAAACGAAACATTAGTTCTAAAAATTCATATTATGACCACAAAAATTAATATAGGTATCTCAAATTCACCTCTCGATTCGTAAGAGACTCACATAATCATCAAATTAGTGATTAAGTAATTCAATACATTAAACTCATAGTAAAACCAACACATATAAGAAAAAATCACAGAAATCTTGAATAGAAAAATAAAGGATCACAAGTCGACTACATTATTTTATCTAATATGAAAATTAGTTACTCATACTGTAAAAATAAAAACACGCAAAATTGGAAAGATGTCATCAAAAATTGACGAAATGTAAGATTTATATCTCTGCCGCCTCCTTTCATGCCCTTGTGTATGTGTGTATATATAACTCCTTTTACAGCCACCGACTTTGACTTCAAGAAAGAACTCTCCTTTTTTTTCTTTTCTTTCTTCCCTTCTTTTTCTCTCTTCCTCTTCTCTCTTTTTTGATTCTCCCAGCAGTAAGTTTTTTTTTTCCTTGGCAGCAGCCCTTTTTCCTTCTCTTTTCCTGTGTTTTTCCCCTTTTTCTTTTTTCTGTTTTTTTGAGGTCCATTAAAAAAATTCCAATATAAGTCCATTGAGGCACATTTAACTCCAACCCATTTAATGTATTATTTCTCTCCAAGGTTTCATCTTTGAATTTTACCATTTTTCGTCACTTTTTCATTCTTTTCTTCAATTCTTCATTAAATATAAAGTTTTACTTACAAAATACAATATAACATAAATTAGGTAAACTTTTATCCAAAAGATAATAAAATATCATGATTTATGGTCTCGAATAAGTGTAGAAACTACACTTATCAGTTTACGTCATTATAGAAATATAGTCAGGTGACATATAAGAATAAATTTAATTTTATTCGAGAGAGATTGTTAAATAATTTAGGAATATCGATCTTCATATTTGAATCGTCTTGTTAAATTGTAAGGTTTGGGGTTAAAAGGAACTGATACAAGGCGATTCGAGATCATAGTGCATTTTTCATCAAACTTGCATTAATTACAATCTTGAGTCGATTTTAGTTAAATTAGGTATTGCATTCATAAGTAGATTATTTAATTACAATTTAATTTAAGCAATCACGATTTTCATAATTTTGGTTAATGTTAAGTTAATTTGAACTTGAACTAGTACAATCTCCATGGGTAAGATATTTGGATTCAAAATCCATTTTACTATTTGTTAACGATTTGTGTACTTACGGTAATTTCAAGCGAAAGGATAATTTCGTGACAGTAACTACTATTTCACAAGCATTATCAAATAACCCTATTTCATTACCTGTTCATTAAATAAAAAAAATGTAAAAATTATGAAACACACTAGCATATAACATACTATTAGAATATAATAAGTTGTATATAATAAACTTGTGTCCATATTATAAAGTAGAATACCCTATTTATAGGGTTACAAGTGACTCTAAAAGGAAATATTATAAGATAATTACAATCAAGTACTAAGAAAACAAATGCTACACAATGGAGAAAATGTCATGAAGAACAATTTTTATAATATTTTCATGTCTTCAACATCTTCTCAAACTAAATATGGTCTTGTAGCAACCAAATTGAATTTCCAAGAGTCAAAGGATACTTCAAAATTGCTTGCATGCCAACCAAGTCAAACAAACATTTCGAAACTGTTACGTAATCATCATTCACCAATCTAATCGAACTATCATCAAGACTTGAAGGAGACGCCCACAAGTATAATGAACAAGACCAAAATAAGAACCTCAAACAATTTTAATAACTAAGCAGACCAAGGATATAACATGTTTAGTAGTAGTAGTCCGATAATCCATGTATTGTATCAGTGCTCCACTCAAATATGAAGTAGACAAAGACTAATCAAATAGGAACTCTGGCACGGAGGTTAAGACAACATATGGATGGAAATAAATTCGATGAGAAAATAACATGATTTTGTTCAGAATAATTCTAACATCAACATGTCTAACGAAGTTTCAAAACTAATTCTCTGATTCCTCGTAAACCAACTCTCTCCAAGAAGGAAACAACAAGAATAGCCAAAGTCCAACAGAATTTTAATTAATCTAAAACTCAAATAATTCAGATTAAATCAAGAACAAAAGAATACTTGACCGTACATAATATATAAAAGAAAGAAAAATAATTTGGCTAGATGAGGATATCTAAACAAAACAAGAAAATTAGGCCGGACGAGCGGGACAAGACTGTTTGTCGAAAACCTTGCTGATTTAATCTAAAATCAAGTTAAACCTGCTAATACCATTTTAGAATATTATAAATTGTATATAATAAACTCGTGTTTTCATTATAGAGTAGAAGACCCTATTTACAGGACTACAAGTAACTATAAAATAAAATGTTACACGATAATTATACAATCAGCTATTAAGAAAAATAATCCCATATAATTGGAAAAATATCATGGATTATAATCTTTTCATATCTTCCATACATATTATTTTTCAGTGATTGAGTAAATATACTCTGCTTTCTAAACCATTGACAAATATTATATTTTGTCAAGTCTATTTCATAAAATACAAAAACTTATAAGTCATTTTTTTACTTATAATTGAAAAAGTAGTTACAAGGTAAGCTTAAGGACATACAAACACGTGAGAAGATTTAAAGGTCTTAAACTAGTTTTAGATTAATTAGCTAATTACCAGCCCAAGTCTAAACCTTAATCATGGACGTTTATATGCAATCTACCAGTCTATAACAGATACTCTAAAAACTTTGGATTTTTCAGATTTATATTTTTTACGCTGGAGATGTTTTGCCTATAAAACGAGATGATTTAACATGCATTATGATATCAAAGTAGGCATGGGTCTTTCTTTAAGCCCAAGTTTGAGCCCCATTATTTAGCCATAATAGGTTTT